CTCTCTCTCTCTCTCTCTCTCAGCTTTATTGAACCAAAACATGTCTGTTGGAAGGGGTAGAAGGGGAAATTTTAGTGAGCCCTTAATTTAATTCTATTCTGATTTGCTAGTGATATTGATTGATTTTTTTTTAAACAGTGATATTGATTGAATTCAGTAATCTAGTTTTGCTTTTGCTTAAAGCGTATACCCCCTTTTCGTATGTCAAAGTGTTCATTTTGAATGGGGTGGTCTGGTGAATATAACTATTGCGCTAATGTTATAAGGTTGATGTGGATCATCTGAGAGTGACAGTCACTAGTTGTGGATGATGCCTAAGGGAGTGCATTGGAGTGGCTACTCCCTAAGTTTGTTGGTTGTTTTGGAGTCAGAGATTAGTGAAAGGGAAGGGTAGAGAAAAAGATAATGCTATGTCTTATCTGTCTATTTTGTCTACAACTTATTAATTTGGTGCAGTGCATTTCTTTTCATTTTCATCTGATTTACTTGAAGCTTCAACCCTAATGCACACACAAAACAACACATTATACATACACTCCTGCTGTTTTCTTGTCATATCACTTTACAGTTTGTCCGAATTTACAATATAGTCTCATCTATGTTTCCTTTATGAGATTTGCGGTAGACTTGTCTGTATGAATCTCAGAAAGTAGGTAGACCTAAAGTTATTCCTTGTTATCTGCAGGACAAAGATTTGACTTGAGGGAGGGAGGTAGAACAGTTGGTGCAGGGGTAATTAGCTGAGTTATACTGGCAACTGGATCTTTGTGATGCTTTTTCTATCTGCTTTTTCCAAAATGGAAGGGGTGAGACCAAAAGACCCGATCGTTGTATCTTGGAAGCACATGCTGCATTGCCGTGTGTAATTGCTGAATGGAAACGAGAACTTCTCGATGCTCTTTCTGTAGTGAAGAATTGGTCAAAATAGATGCGATTAGTTTTAGATTTGTTCGTCTGTATCATTCATGAATAATTTGCTAGGTAGCAGTCCTGGTTTTTGACTGGTTTCGAGATGTTGCCAACACATTACGGGCAATAATTTTTGCTAGAAATCTACTTTCTGCTTTGCTTCTGTTGGGTTAGACACTATTATTCGTGTGAAAAATGACGAAGTTTGAACCCGAAATTTTAAGATCTAACAATGGAAGCAATAACTAGGCCAACCAATCCATTAATCTCATTTTAAATATTTATTTTGGCCCATTAAAGATGTTGATGGGAATCAAATCTCAATGAGGGAATAAACGAATTGATTATGTAGCCACAATGTTGACTAGCCATCAAATGTGCCATTTAAGTATTTAAGCTCTTCCCTTCTTTTCCTCTCTTTTTTTCAGTTTAACAGTCAAAGGTATTCAGACCAGTTTACGCTTATTTCAACTAATTTTTTTTTTGTCCGGTAAAAACCAGTTCATCCTTATCAGGACTAGGGTATTTGTGAAGAATAAATTTCTTATTGANTTTTTTTTTCAGTTGAACAGTCAAAGGTATTCAGACCAGTTTACGCTTATTTCAACTAATTTTTTTTTTATCCGGTAAAAACCAGTTCATCCTTATCAGGACTAGGGTATTTGTGAAGAATAAATTTCTTATTGATTGACCCTAAAAAATTATTAAAATTCAAACTCAAGACGCATGAATTTACCTCTCATCCTTATTACCATTTATTCTACACTTTATTACCATTTATTCTACACTTGAGGTCCCACCTTTCTTTTGTAACCAGCAATTAATCCAATAAATACTAGTAAAAATAAGCCACAATTTCTATACGCACAAGTACCCTGATTCGCCTTACATGATTTTTGTTTCACATATTCCCTGTATTCTTCCAGTCCATTAATGTAAGTTCCAATTACATAACATTAGCTCCACAAAACTTATTTGGCAATACAGGCTATCAGAAGGTCAAGCTCAAGTGAGTATATTAGGAATGTCACTTTGTTTAGTCCACACTTCAACCAATCCACTTTCAACTTCACCATGAGCCTACTGAGACCAAGCCTTCCAAACATAACTAGATAGAACATTTAGATTTACTTCCATCATCCCTTCCCAATTTTCCCCCATCCTTGGTAATTCAAATGAGTTCAATAATCGAAGCTTGCGCTCACACAAACCTTAGTACTGCAATTGTCATCAATGTTGCAGCTCTAAGGTAAATTTCATTGACACTTTTGTCAAGGTTCTTCATCAACTCCTCTTCTTTAGAATCCAATTTACCTGAATTTTTGCAGATGTGAACAACCGTGTCCCTCAGTCTGTTGACTGCCCAAGAGAGCCACACCAATCCGAGTCCCAATCCAGTGTTCAAGAGTTTGGATGCACAGAAGGGTACCCTGCTGCAACCTACTTTACAGACGACGGAGAAAAGAACAGCAAGACCAGTCCCAGCAATGCTGGCCGAGAACTGTGTCAGGAGCTGAGGTAGTTCAGGACCAGATTTCTTCAGAGAGAGGATGGCAGTTTTCCCATGCCGCTTTTTGTCAACCATTATGGATAGAAGGCTTTCACATGCATGGAAGGGGTTTTTTCTGTAGAGATCCCTCTCTTTAGTTGCTTTCCTGATGCTCTTCTTCTTTGGTGATGGTTTGAGTTTGATTCTCTCAGGACTGCAAAAAGGAGTAGCATGTAAAGATTAAACGCCTTATGCGGGCTTGTGCAGACTTGCAAAAGCAGAAAATAAGGAGACATAGCTGTCTGAGTCGATGAATGAAACATACAGTAGATATTTCAGTAAGATATAACAAGAGAAATGAGGATGGAAAGTGAAACTTAAACTATGAAAAATAGAAGAAAATAACTCTCCCTTAAAAAAAATGGCGTGGCATGTACCTCTTCAGAGGAGCAACTTTAATAGTTTCCAGCTTCAAAGAAGACCCCTGAATATTAGCACGTACTTCCCTGCCATCCAACCTGTTACAGGAATGGCTGGACTGCGAAATTCAAGCCATACTTCCAACAGACAATAGCACACATCAAACAAAGCATGCCAATTTAACTTATAATTTTCCCACTATAAGTAGGCCCGGAGAATTCTATCCCTAAAGTTTTGTCAATCAGGTGCATTTAGCATCCAATCAAGTGGTAAATGGTGGTTAACTGTCAGGAAATTCAAAATAAAACTGGAAGACTTATACCACCGTAAGACCACCCCATAGAGGTCGTGAAATTATAATTGGTTTGTACATCCAATTCAAGAGCAATCAGTACAGTGAGCCACTAACTAATGAGTTCATAGTTTCATCTGAAATTAAAAAGGTAGCCATGAGAATACAGATGTATAATCTTCATTATTTTCTTCTCAACCTCATACCAGTAGATATATCATTCAGCATGCAAACAAAAACATGTTTGATCATTCTCCATGCATAAAATATTGATGTAAATCAAAAGACTAGGAGAGAATTTGCACCTATTAAAGTGCGGGACCAGCAGTGACTGCTTTTTCCACTTCGTTGAATCATTGGACAAGTAAAACTCAGCAACAACGGAAAATATATCCTTAATCTCAGTCTCAGCACCTGTGACAGAGACTTGGCCATCTGAGTGAACTGTAATTCCTGAATTATACGTCAAATCCCCACCCGAGTAGACAAGAGGCATCTGGGAATTAAGCTTAGTAATGGGATACAACAGAGAGGGCTGAGACTCAGCAGAATGAGAACACAATCGACAATCGGGAGCACATGGCTGTTGAGGCATATCATTTGTCAATGCTTGAAGGCCCATCAAGTCAGAGAGTACAGATAGATCCAGTCCACCTATTTCTGCTTCACTTGATCTAGACATTAGGTATTTCAAGATTTTGTCATGTTTTGTGCATTTTTCTGCAATCCTGAAGCTGAAGAGTATTGACTTTGTATGACTGTCTGAGGCAAGAGAAGGAAAGGTATGAAAAAATTATTGCATCATCCAACTATTAAAAAAAGGGTACATGAGAGAAAGTGTGCACAAGGAGAATTAACAAACTTTAATGGCATTTTTAATTGAATTCTGTAAAGTAATTCCATAGATGTAACCACATGGGTTCTTTGCTATAAAATGAAACACACGCAAATAGAGACACAATGGTAAACTCACTTATCTAGAATTCGTCTCATTTAAATTTTCAACATCTCCTTTATTTCGGATGACATATAGCAAAACATGGCATCAAAGGGCATTGGATATATGGAAAGTAATGCACAATCACAAAAACTAGCAATCAGTCAACCTTGCACATCAAGAAGTACTGGCCTTCTGATAGTTGAGTCAATCCTGACAAACTGGCTAGTCGCTGAAAACCCACTCATGGGTTTCCCCAGCTCATTGCTCTGATGTGGCCTCAGATTAAGGGAGCTTAATCTTGTAATATCTTGTTTTGATCGAAGACTGGGCAAAAGAGGTTGACAATCCTGCAACAAAGAAAGATTTGGCCAATGTCATCAGTTCATGGATGTGGCATCACCAAGACATCCAGGATAGACCTTCCAAGAAAAATAAAATAAAAAGAGGTCAACAATAGATCAATACCACAATGTTACACCAATACTCAATTTTCCAAAGTAGTTGTGACCATGGGATCAACAAATGAATAAGAACTCTGTAATTTGTAACATTGTAGAGCACAAAAGAGGAACTGATAAATGAATAAAGCCTGTGGCATGAAATCAATCACAGAAAATACCAAATATAAAATGAGGAGCCAAGCTCAGTAATTAGACAAAAACATAACCCAATTGAAATCACTACAAAACTAAGGAACCCAGATCAACAACCCGACAAAATCACATAGCAATAATGTACACCAATCACACACATACCATCCATGATAAAAGAGAAAAATTCTAATCCCGTAAGCTTTGACAATCAGAATTAACAAACCAATGTCGTCAAACTCGATAAAAATAAAGCCTGAAGCATGAAAACAATCACAGAACATACCAAACATGAACTGAAAGGAGCCCGGCACAGTAACTACGCAAGAAATATAACCTAATTGAAATCACTACCAACCTCAGCAACCCAGATCAACAAAGTTCTAAAACAAACGTGCACATCACTCAGACACATACCATAGATACCTTGGACATGCCTTGTTCTGGCTGGAACACAAGCCCAGGTGGGTACCCATGACCATGAGAAGCCATCAAGCAAAGCTCGGCCATGTCTGAGAGAAAACCCACTTCAGAAACCCGAGTTTTTCAGATGCCAAATCTCTTTTTTCTTCCGCGAGGGTCACAACATCTTGGATTTATCGACCTCAAGCACCTCGGATTCGAAAGATTTTGTTCCAATTTTAGGTTTCGTGTCACCCAGAAAAACCACAAAATTAAATTCGACTAACAAAATCTAATTGGACAATCAAAGTTTATGTGATCAAATTCGTCTTTGGAATCCAGGTTGGGATTGACTCTGAATCAGATCAAAAAGATTCTTGTTGGACTCTTCTAGGGGAATTAGTTACATAGATTGTTTCTGTGTTTTTCTCCTCCACCGTAATAATTTGTTTCGGATTTTGTCAGACAATCACAACCGTTTAATAAATGGGGCCCTGTGAGATCCTTACTTGTCTTTTTTTTTTTTTTTGGGGGGCGGGGAGAGAGGGTTAGATAATGCAAGAACTCACAATAAGAGTAATGGTCAGTTTGTTTCGATGGAAAATGGGGTGGATGGATGGAAAAAATTTTAATTGTTTGGTATAAAAAGAAAGAGCGATGAAAATAAAAATTGGAGGGAATGTTTTTCCTTTCAGCCCACAATTTATTTTCCTTCCAAAAATGGGCAAAAAATAAGAAGAAGTCAACAAAATTTGACCTTTGGTTGATAAATTTATTTTTTTGCCCTTTGCTACCTTCTAATAAAATTCACTTCTCAAAACATATATTTAAAGGGTAGAATTGTAAAATTGGGTATGTATGGTTTCCCTTTTCTTTCATTTTCATCTAATATCAAATGATGAAAAATATATCTCTTCTATTTTTCATCCCTCCTACTAAACAAAAAAGAGGGAAAATAACTTTCTTTCTTTTATGTATAGAAAGTTTATTCCTTCCACTTTTTTATTCTTCCTACTTTTCATCCTTCGTACTAAACAGATCATAAATAAAGTGTTACTCATATCCATAACATGTTCATGTATTAATTTGCACGAGTAATTTAATAGTGTGGGNATTTTCTTTCTTTTATGTATAGAAAGTTTATTCCTTCCACTTTTTTATTCTTCCTACTTTTCATCCTTCGTACTAAACAGACCATAAATAAAGTGTTACTCATATCCATAACATGTTCATGTATTAATTTGCACGAGTAATTTAATAGTGTGGGTTTAAATTTGTACAAACTGTAAATTNATGTCGTCAAACTCGATAAAAATAAAGCCTGAAGCATGAAAACAATCACAGAACATACCAAACATGAACTGAAAGGAGCCCGGCACAGTAACTACGCAAGAAATATAACCTAATTGAAATCACTACCAACCTCAGCAACCCAGATCAACAAANATATAAAGCCTGAAGCATGAAAACAATCACAGAACATACCAAACATGAACTGAAAGGAGCCCGGCACAGTAACTACACAAGAAATATAACCTAATTGAAATCACTACCAACCTCAGCAACCCAGATCAACAAANTCCAGCAAAGCTTTTTAGGTTCGTTTTTTAAAAAAATTATTTAAATTCAATACACTTAAAACAAAAGTCAAATTCATAACAAGTATTATACGAACTAAATTCGAATTCTAGAAATTTGGCTCAATTATTATTCCTCCACAAGCCACCACATCCACATGTCTTGCATNTACAGCAAAGCCTTTTAAGTTTATTTTTTAAAAAAATTAAAAAAGTTATTTAAATTCAATACACTTAAAACAAAAGTCAAATTCATAACAAGTATTATACGAACTAAATTCGAATTCTGGAAATTTGGCTCAATTATTATTCCTCCACAAGCCACCACATCCACATGTCTTGCATNAAGTTCTAAAACAAACGTGCACATCACTCAGACACATACCATAGATACCTTGGACATGCCTTGTTCTGGCTGGAACACAAGCCCAGGTGGGTACCCATGACCATGAGAAGCCATCAAGCAAAGCTCGGTCATGTCTGAGAGAAAACCCACTTCAGAAACCCGAGTTTTTCTGATGCCAAATCTCTTTTTTCTTCCGCGAGGGTCACAACATCTTGGATTTATCGACCTCAAGCACCTCGGATTCGAAAGATTTTGTTCCAATTTTAGGTTTCGTGTCACCCAGAAAAACCACAAAATTAAATTCGACTAACAAAATCTAATTGGACAATCAAAGTTTATGTGATCAAATTCGTCTTTGGAATCCAGGTTGGGATTGACTCTGAATCAGATCAAAAAGATTCTTGTTGGACTCTTCTAGGGGAATTAGTTACATAGATTGTTTCTGTGTTTTTCTCCTCCACCGTAATAATTTGTTTCGGATTTTGTCAGACAATCACAACCGTTTAATAAATGGGGCCCTGTGAGATCCTTACTTGTCTTTTTTTTTTTTTTTGGGGGGCGGGGAGAGAGGGTTAGATAATGCAAGAACTCACAATAAGAGTAATGGTCAGTTTGTTTCGATGGAAAATGGGGTGGATGGATGGAAAAAATTTTAATTGTTTGGTATAAAAAGAAAGAGCGATGAAAATAAAAATTGGAGGGAATG